AACCAATTTGACAATAAATTTCATACATTAAAAAAATAATAAAATGGTTAATTAAGTTTTAATATAATGGAGGTAACTTTGATTAGTTAGATGCATAGTTGATTTCCAAGAACGGACAAGACACTTTATTGTTTTGTTTTGTTTTCTTTTTTTTAAAGTTTATTTATTTTGAGAGAGAGAACATGTGTGTGTGCACATGAGTGGGGGAGGGGCAGGGAAAGAGGGAAAGAGAGCATTCCAAGCAGGCTCCAAGCTGCCAGCGCAGAGCCTGACGTGGGGCTCAATCTCACGACCCACAGTGAGAACATGAACTGAGCCGAAATCAAGAGTGGGATGCTTAACTGACTTAGCTACCCAGGCGTCCCAATTTGTATTTTTTTCTTAAGCAGAGGATGGCATAGAAGAGGTGAAAGAGAACTAAATGGGAGACTATAGATTTGGATCTAGGTCTGGCTCTGCCCTCACTAACCGTGTGAAATGTAGTTGGTCACTTCTATTTGGGCTTCAGTTTTTCTTGTCCTCACAGTAAGGAAATTGGACCAGGTGCTGTCTCGTCACTCCAATGCTGATTCAATTACTAAGTTCCAGTACAATGGTTGGTATCATGGAATCATGGTATCATGGAAAGTTGGTATCATGGAATCTAACTCTTGAGTTAGATTACTTCACTTTCACTTAATCTTTCTGTGTCTGTGTCTCAGTTTTTCCCTTTGTGAACATGGGATAATACTCCCTATATTGGATGATTGATTAAATTATATAAATCCTGTGAATCACTTGATCAGTGCCTGGCATATCATGAATTTTCTAAAACCATTGATTATTTTTTATTACTTCTATGCAGCTGTAGTTATGTCCAAATATATATATTCATAGGACTGAAAATTCCAATCCTTTGAGATGAACTCTATATTTATAAATATTTTACACTAAAATATTTTTACAATATAAAATGGTTCTCAGTTTTAACAAATATTTGCAACCACATGATATAAATCAACCACTGATCTGATCACTTCTTCCATGTTTTAAAGGGGCCAGAGTCTTGACAGTCTCATCAAAGTGGCTCCTGAAACAAACAGAACTAACCAAAGGTGAGGTTCATGGAACTCTTCTATACCTCTGTGTTTTTCTGTTTAACTTAAAAAAGTGTAATAAAACTCATTGTCCCACCATGGAGACAGCCAGTGAAGGGACCAAAAATCAACAGCTGTGTTACAAACCTGGTGTTCAGGTCCTTGCTCAGGGCTCCCAGGCTGTGAGCTTTAATGGAGGATAGAGAATTTCTTATAATGTCTCTTATCAGTATGCGATTGTGCTTGGGATTTCAACATAATTCTATTTCAGTATAATAGTTCCACATAATACGTTGCAATCATTTACATGAAAGGGCCTGTGTGTGATTAAATTAGTTTATGAGTTAATTGGAAAGATTAATTAAATGATACAAACATTTCTGGCCCTTTTTGCTCTTCAGGGTATATAGCATATTGTACAATAATAAGGTATACCACATTAACCTTCTTGTTTAGGCTGTTGGTGTTAATGTTGGTATGAAAGCCCATTGTTATAATAATGTGTCTTTAGAGCTATGATTATTCATTTGAGTGTTTAGAATAAAAGCAATTTATGTAATCTGAAGTCTTGCTTGTTCTGATTTAGCACTACATGAAGTGCAATTCTGAAGTGATTTAATTAATATCTTAGAGTAGCTTCAATGTTACAGATTCACGTTATATATATTACCTGCATACCTTAAATCAGGAAGTAACTGTTTTTTAAAAGTCCTAGGTTATGTTGTTTTGCTTGCTTGCTTTTGTTTTTGTTGTTTTTGGAGGGGATGGAAATGGGGAACACATGGAAATGATAAATCTTATATGTTTATATTTTTCTTTTGTTTGTTACAACCTCCCAAAACATCCTAAATGCTAATTCTGCTACAAAATATAATGTGGAAAGTCAAAAGCTCAAGAGTAATTTAAATTTGGGGTTGTCTTGAAAGAAACAAGAATAAAACTAAATTAAATTCTCATATGTACATAATTGTGTAAGAAATGAATTTATAGCCACCTGCTTTTACATAGGGCTAAAAAGAATTCAAGTAATGGGGCGCCTGGGTGGCTCAGTCGGTTAAGCGTCCGACTTCAGCTCAGGTCACAATCTCGCGGTCCGTGAGTTCGAGCCCCGTGTCAGGCTCTGGGCTGATGGCTCAGAGCCTGGAGCCTGTTTCCGATTCTGTGTCTCCCTCTCTCTCTCTGCCTCGTTTCTGCTCTGTCTCTCTCTGTCCCCAAAATAAATAAACGTTAAAAAAAAAAAAAGAATTCAAGTAATGATGAAGTTTTAAATTGGCAACAATTATTTAATTTAATATTCAAGTTGAAAAAAATGTCCACGTTATTATTGATTTTAGTTGATTTTACCACCTATTGCAACTTGCAACATTTTTTTAGGATCCAAACTCATTCCCTCAGCATACACAAGGTAGGTTTTACCAAGATTATTGAGACTTTTGAGCAAGTCTCCAATTTCTGCCAAAAAATAAGATTAATCATTTGGCTAAAGGCATTCTGAAAGAGGACATGAAAAAAAATGAGAACAAATTGATTTATTGATATGTAGTGGTGTTGGATAGGCTCTTCTTTTTTCATTGTCTCAATTTACTTTATTATAGTATTGAAGCAAATTCTTTATAATTACCATTTGAGAAATTCGTTTTGACACAATAATAGCATAACTAGATCATTACTGTAAATTCATAGTAAATTAATTGTAAATTCATAAAGCCAGATAAAACAAAGAATATTGGCTTTCTACTCTTTCACAAACCCAAAGATTGATCTTTAAATGACTCGAGAAAGTTGGTGGCATAACATTCCTATACTATTCTTATACTTATAATATTCTTATACTAGAATATTTTTGGATGACATTGAATATATTTCTGTCTTCTTGGGGAGTTAAGACTCATCGTATATGGGGTCAAAAGTCAAGAAATGCATACCAGAATAAGTCCAAGCTCCCTCTCAGGATTACTGCGATGATGTTGGTGAGAGCATGGTGGAGATGTAAGCAGTTACTGTGGACAGAGAGAAAGGATGATAGTGGGAAGGAGCGTGAGGTTTGGAGTCCAGTTGCTATGGTTTCAAACCTGGTTCATTCTTTTTTTTTTTTTTTTTTAAAAAAAAATTTTTTTTTTTCAACGTTTATTTATTTTTGGGAGAGAGAGAGACAACAGCATGAGCGGGGGAGGGGGGAGAGGGAGGGAGAGAGAGGGAGACACTAGAGAATGCTCGGAAACAGGCTCCAGGCTCACTGAATCAGCCAGAGACCGCCTGAGGGAGCTTCGACAGCGGAGGGCTACCAGCGCTCTGACCTTGAGGGCTCTGAAGCGAGGGCTCGGCAGCGGGCTCGAGTCATGGACCCGAGATCATGACCTGGCTAAGTGAGGACAGCAACCGGGCTCATCACCAGCCCCAAACCTGGTTCATTCTTAATCACTTCTTCCTACCTGCCCCCAAAGAATGCCCTACCTTCCAGGAAGCTCGGTTTCTTTATTTGTAAAGGGAAGATGGTGATATCTACCTCAGTGGGTTGTTTTGAGGATTTTAAAAACTTTGGGAAGTAGAAACTCAGTAAACTTGTTACTTTTATCTAGGATCCCATTGTATGATTTACATGTGTCAAAAGAAAAAATGTCAGTCATAAAATTTGCTGGTTTCCAGCTGAATTTGACCTTTTATTTTATTTTGTTTTAACAGTAAAGCAAGTCTTGATGAACTTATTAATGTAGGCCCCAAAGCTGTCAAAAACATGGCCGGGTAAGAGAAAGATGTTAATTTGTTTTGTTTTGTTTTGTTGTGTTTTGTTTTTCCTCTTAAAACACAATACAAATGTAAATAATTTGTAGTCATTCTGTGGGCAAACTGAATATAGGTCTTGAAAAACCATCATGATTTTGATATATTCCTGGAAATAAATATCTATTTGTTCCTAGCAAGAAAGAGAGGTAGCTGAAGAAAATAATATGCTAATAATATGCTAATAATAATAATATGTCTTTACTTCTTTCCTCCTCAAGTGAAGCAGTTGAAGAGACCGATTGTGAGAACATAGCTGGTCTATGTGCTAATTTGTTGTTTTTTCCTTTATGATATTGATGTTAACACCTTTGTCTCTTGAACTGATGACAATTTGTTAATAATAGTTAATTCCTAAAAACACCTAGAACACTTTATTAGATGTAGTAGCAGCATTACCTTTACTTCATTTCATAGAGCATTTTCTGGTAGTCGGTGGAAATTTTATGAGGTTTATTGTTTCTTAGATGGTTTGATGCTCCCAGCAAAGTTGTGGACATAAAATTTGGTATTTCTTTAGGCAGTGTCTGTAAGATAATAAAACTCGCTTTTTGTCTCTGGGTATATGAAGATTTTTAAACTGTTGCACACTATATACATATATTGATTTCCCTTTTTGAGTTTAGTTGGTACATATAAAAACTGAAAAATTTTAGAGATCAAGGAAGGAATCCCAGAGAACTCCCAGCCCTGTTAGTCTGAACAATTTTGAAAACCCCTGTTTCAGTCAAACCTATTCAATTTCCAGAAGAGGAAACAGACAAAGGTTAAGTGATCTGACCAGGGTCACGGAGAAAACTAGTGGAAGACTGATAGTTTTGTGATCTGTTAGGGAATGAATAATTATGAGGAACCTATTGGGTTTGAAGCTTACAACTAGGTATCATTAGTTGCACATTAGGTATAATTATAGGTCATGGATGCCAAAAAGAGAATTCAGTAGACATACTCAGTCTTATTAACAGCAGGCAATTATCATAGATTAAAGCTAATTATGTACTGGAGGGCACAGAGATGTTACTCCAAGAGAAGAATAGGTTGTCAATTTAATATATTACATTTTGGAACACTCATGTACTGCTTGCTGAATATAGAATGCATTGTCAGTACATTGCATTTAAAAGGGAAAAGAAGCACTGAATAGCTAATTTAATAAACATGACAGGCAGTCAAGCCCATATCCATAGTTTCCTAGGAGTAGAAGACGTTGGAGATGGGCAGAGTCTTAGAGATGTTCCAGTCTCCTCATTTTACAGATGAGAATACTGAGGCAAGGAGCAAAAATCTCATAGTCTCCGTGAGTTCTTCTGACTCCCAGCCCAACTCCTGGGGGCTCCCAGCACACCAACTTTGATCTTGAAAGAAATGAAAGTTAATTAAACACCTCCAGAAATAGTGGAGGTTTATAAAGCTAGGATTGTTGCTCTTGCCATGGGACAGCCAGAAGGTGTCCTTTACTGCTCTACAGGATCACTTGAAATATTATTTCATAGGTGACAATGGCACAAATGTGCAAATGGCTGCAAAACACTTTTCAGCTCTTAAACTACATGGAGTCAGTGATAGATAAATATTCTAACATATCCCTTTACTATATCCTTAAAGCAAAACAAATGAAAGCAGTAACTTGTTACAGAAAGAATGTTACATTTTTCCTGGATAAAGTTTAGATATAAGATTTCTGCATTTTCAGGGACCCAAGGCCTGAAAAAGGGGTCTATAAATTTGTTATTTTCGAGTCATTGAGATAAATTGCGTGACGCTATCAATCAAGGCAATTCAGAACTGATACTGAGATCCTCGTTTTGTTAAAACACTGCTGTCTTTTCAGTAGTGGTAGAACATAGCATACAATTATATATTTTCTAAGCCAGGATTTCTCAAACTATGGGTCAAAACCCACCAACGGGTCTTGTAATTAATACAGCAAGTAGCAATCAGCACTTTCCCTCAATTAAATAAAATTAATTAAATAGAGTGGAAAACATGAGAGTTATTATGTAGTAAGGGTATTATTTAATGAAATTTGTGTTTGCTCATGTGTGTGTGTGTGAGTGTGCATATCTCTATCTGAAGAGAGTATTGAGTTGTGATGTAAACCTTATTTCTTTTTTTTAAGTTTATTTATTTATTTTGAGAGAGAGAGCACAAATGCCTGCAAGTGTGAGCGGGTAAGGGGCAGAGAGAGTAGGAGAGAGAGAGACTCTCAAGCAGGCTCTGTGCTAATAGCAGGGGCTCAATCTCACGAACCTTGAGATCATGACCTGAGCCAAAATCAAGAGTTGGATGCTTAACTGACTGAGTCACCCAGGCGCCCCTAAAATGTATTTCTTAATGAGCTTTATGAAACAGTAATTTGAATATCACTTTTCCAGGTTGTTGCATAAATGACATTTTCTGTGCTCATCAGAAGAGTGAAAATGGAAATTCCCATAGTTGTGTGTGCAGTTTAATCATGTTAGCACATGAATGTTGTATGTAGTTACACTAAAAAATATTATGGCCTTTGAATGCATTATCTTCTCTACAAAGTCTTATTCTTTGTATTTTTTATTCTAATATGTGAAATTAACCTCACTTTATTTTATTTAAAAATTTTTTTAATTCCTGTACAGTTAACATACAGTGTTACAATATTTTAAGGTGTAAAATAATCTCACTTCAGAGATCATTGTCTTTTAGGCACAGTTGAGCTTTATACTAAATCTTGCAATCAATTTATACAAGGAAATTATATTTTGGATAGCTCTTATAGGATAATCCTTCCTTTAATAGTATTTGTAGAAACCAATTGGTTATCTTTAATTGCGAATACTATTCCTGAAGATCACTCAAAACAGTGAAAATTCAGTTAGCAGCTTTCTGTCTACCATGGAAATCTGAGAACAATGATGGAAGCCAGGGGCTGGGAAGCACATTCAATGGAAATATTAGGTTTGGGGGAGGGAAATGCAGACTTTTTCTCAGAACTTCTCAGTGATGAGGTTCTAAATAGCTCCCTTTCAGCTCTTAACATTGTTTTAATACTTTTGACAAGTAAAATGTCTCTTATTTTTATATAAGGAGAAAGGACTGTTTGGAGGGAAGGGTAGACAGGCAAGTTGCTGTCCAAGATGGTACTGAAAGCAGGCATTCTCAGTCCTGTGATTTCTATTTTTTTTAATGTTTATTTATTTTTGAGAGAGAGAGAGAACACACATGCTCATGAGTGGGGGAGGGGCAGACAGAGAGGGAGACAGAGAATCTCAAGCAGGCTGTGTCCACTGTCAGCGCTGAGCCTGACATGGAGTTCAAACCCGCAGACTGTGAAATCATGACCCAAGCTGAAATGAAAAGTTGGACGCTTAACTGACTGAGTCATCCAGGCACCCCAGTCCTATGATTTCTTGCCATTACAGGCTGACACATTTCTCTCAATAAATATTAAAAAGGGGTTTACAGGAACAACTGAAAAATCACCACCTGCCAGCCCTTAAAACAAGGTATGACACGAAGGCAGTGAATGGCAGCAAACTATGTGGGAAGAAATACTGTTCTTGACGAGGAAACAAACTGGTGTGGCTTCAGATAGGAAGCGGACAGTCTTCAGAGCATGTAGCTAATTTGACCATGAACAGCTGAGTTCATTTCAGCTTTTTAGTCATTGTAAAGGAAAGAAATGTCATGGTTTTGAAGGATTGCTAGAACGCTCCTTGCCAAGTCTTATGCTAAGTATAATCCCAATTTTGGAGCTTATTTTAAAAAATATCTTCAGTTGGTGAATATGATTTAAAAACTAACAAGGACAAGGACATTAAAATCAGCTTGTATCTTCATAATGTTAAAACACTGCAGAGTGGAAAGTTGTTAATCCCAGATGTTTGCTGTGAACACCAGCCAGCTGTGCTCTGGCTATGAAGTATGTAAAGTCAGAGCAACTTCTCTTCAAATCCAGCATAGACTGTCCCCCCAAATTAGCTAGAAAACTTATTTCAAGGCTGTTCTATGCCAAACCAGTATGTCTCATGCTAAATGATAAGACGGCTAATCCTTTCTTCTAATTCCAACCAACTTGAACCCGCATTACCTCTAACCCAATTTTTTTTTTTTTTCACTTAAAGAAATCGAGATCTTGATAAACTCATCAGAGTGAGTCCTGAAACTCTCACCAACAACCGAAGGTAATAGAACTATATTAATTTTTGTGCTTTGGGCAGGAAGAATATTTTGGTTTATTATTATGTCAAGCAGATTTATAACCTTAATGCTCCTGCCAAAAGAACTTTACCATTAACCTTCTCTCCTTTTATTTTTCTATTTAAAGAAACCAGGATCTGGATAACCTCATTAAAGTGAGTCCTGCAGTGATCAGAAGCAGTCAGAGGTAATCAAATAAAATAGTCATTTCATGTTTTCATCTGTCTGTTGCCCCTGGGTGCAGTGGATTTATAATGTGGCTTTATTGACCCAACACAACCAAAACCTATCACTAATCTGAATTTATTTATTTTTTTCTCTTTCGAACAGTGAAGGCTTGGACAGTCTCATTAAAGTGAAATCTTCAGGTCTCAAAAACACTGAGCGGTAAATGACTTTGCCTATCTTGAGGTGTTCTCAAGGTTCTACTTAGGAATTGTGTTTCTTTCTCTCTCTCTTAAAGAAGCCTTTTATTGGGGTGCCTGGGTGGCTCAGTTGGTTAAGCATCTGACTTCAGCTCAGGCCATGATCTCACAGATGGTGAGTTCGAGCGCCATGTCAGGCTCTGTGCTGACAGCTCAGAACCTGGACCCTGCTTCAGATTCTGTGTCTCCCTCTCTCTCTGCCCCTCCCCTGCTTGCTCTCTGTCTCTCTGTCTCTCTCTTAAAAATAAATAAACATAAAAATTTTTTTTAAAAAGAAGCCTTTTATTTTTCTTTAGTGTTCAAATGAAGACACAGTTCTAAGTCATGTGTCTCCTGTCAGCAAGGAAACATCTTGCACTCCTCTGGAATCACACTATTTTGGGACTTGGTTCTGTACTTTTTATTTATTTACAGGAGTGCAACTTTGTTTGTTGTCTACAGCATGTTAGGACTGAAATGAAAACTGAATGCAATCAAATCAGAAGAAAACGTATTTCCAAGAAACTGAACCAAACTGGTGGCTTATATAGATGACTATAGAGCATCAGAAAGGATATTCAGGGTCCTCAAATTACAGATCCACAGTTTGTGGGGACTCACAGAATATTACAGCAGATTTTTTAACCTTGAACTTCCATTTTGAGTTCTGCAAATATAGTATAATTTAGTATCTTTATGTGATATCTACATCTTTCACCTAAAGGGGCTTATTAATAGACAATAAGGTAATAATAGATAATGTACCCAAGTGCCTAATATTAGAAATTCAAATTGTCCTGCTGACCTGAAATGTTATCATTATAAACATAAAGCTGGGAACCATAGTGTCAATATTCTAAGATGAGGAAAGCAAATTAACATACGGAAACGTGCTTTGAACCCACTGGGGGAAAGAAGGCAGTGTAGTACATTCATGGCTCAACTCTTGCGTCTCCTAGTTTGTTGTCTATGTTAGTATGTGATTTTGCTATTTCTGCTTATATGGTTTTATCACTGGGGTGATGGGGTCTTTGGAGGAGGGAGGCACTGGAAGAGCCACCGTCACTGAGAGAAGTAGCACTTACTGAGCCCCTTTCATGTGACTGGCAATTTACATACATTCAATCCTTACAATGAGAAACATATTCATGAGAAATATATTCATATAGCCTACTTTATAGAAGAGGGGAGTATAACTCAAAGACATTAAATGACCTTCTGAAGAAAGAAAACATATCCTGGGTCTAAACTCAAGTCCTTCTGATGCCACTGCCTAGAAGAAAAACAGACTCCCATCTTCTTTCCATCCTTTATACTCACCACAGTCCCTTCCCTTCTAAATCCCCCTTCCTGCAGCGAAAGAAGTACAATTACATATGCTTATTCGAGCAAATTATCACTTAAGTGACAGGGAAGAGAGAAAGTACTTACCTCATAGAGGTTTCCTACCAGCTGAAATAACAGCAGATTTTGGTGTCAACCCTGCCCCTGATGATTGTATGGAAATATCTCTGTTAAGTAGAAGCATTTCTTCATAGTGGTTTTGGTTGGGATGGGATTTTCTTTTTATTAGTAATAGTATTAGGATTGTTAGGAGGTCCCCAACTGTGCTGGAAGTGATTAGGTTTAATAACCACGTACAGAATAACTAACAGTGGCTCCTATAGCCAACCCCTCCCTCAGTGTCTGATTCCACAAAATGTACTTCTCTCTGTCTCTCTGTCTCTGTCTCTGTCACACACACACACACACACACACACACACACACACACGCACACACACACACACTTTCCTCTTTTTCACACACACACACACTTTCCTCTTTTTCTCACTTTTCCTTCCTTCCCTCCTTCCCTCTGGCAAATGTGCTATGTTGACAGGCCATGGTAACTTTCTGGTAAGAGTTTTATCTTTTGTTTATTAGAAGATGCCAATTTTATAAAGAGGTAGTTTGTATTTCAGCAACTTCTAATAAAACATCTATAGAAAGAAGGCATTTTCCTTATATGGATGAAATTCCTATAAAAAGAAAATTTTAAAATATTGGCCATCATGTGGCTTTCAGATGGAGGCTTGATCCATAAATCTAACCTAAGCAACGTCTGGCTCTTCTTTAGGAGTGACACCAGATTTAATGATAATCAGCCAGGTTATCAAGAATTAGAGCAGAACAGACAAACAGGAAAGCTGCTTACTTGAAAAAAGTGACTTCATTCAATTGGTTCAGCCACCTGTAACTATAATGTATCTACCCTGCCCACTTGATTTTAATGGGTAAAGAGAGGGGCATTTTAAAGCATCTCCCAGAGGGATAACAGCCACAGGCAATTTTACATCCAATTCAATGTGACATGGCCACTGATTATTTAATAGCAGAACAGCAGTGAATTAGAGTCCTTTTTATGTGACTTTGCTGACATTTCCAGCAGCTGTATATGTAATTCACACTTAGGGGTGGAATAAACTTTGGTCATCGATCAGAATATAAGCAGGTGTCCCTGAGCTCCTTCTAGGAACATAACAACATGAACAAATGCAAATGTGCACAGAATTTTCATTTATTCAGGGAGAAACTGCATGGCTTTTAGCAGTGACAGCCTCACGTTGTCATGAACCAACATAAAAAGGAGACATTCAATTATCTGAGGCTATAAACTTCTGCTCCCAAATGAAGATTGAAAAGCAGCTAGTGCCATGGAGGACTTTACAGTCAGAAAAGACATCCTTCATCTGAAGTAGAAAAAAGATTCTGAACTATTTGTATTATTATACTTCCATAATTTTAAGGGCTTCCTACTTCCTAAGACATATACCTCCAAGTTTTAGTATTCCAACAAAAGAAGAGTTTCTTCCTATCTTCCTATTGCAGATTTCTCATATTTCTGCTCAAGGAAGAAAGCTGGGGGAAGGGGTGACCTTGACTCTTTCCAGTGCTTCATTCCCCATAATTGGCAGGCCACTCTGCATGCCTCTATCTCAGGAACTAAGATACCTTATCTTTTCCGATACTACCAGGACCAGAATACAATTCGGCCTCCTAATTGGTCCCTCTGCTACCAGTCTCGCCTTCTGTCCTTTAGTCCATTAGCCACACTGTAGAGTGATCTTCCTGAAGCACAGATCTGATCACCTCATTCTGATTAAATCCTCTTGTGGCTTCCCATTGCCGTTGGACAATGGCCATACTCCTTAATCTGGTTTCTGAAGCCTAGCTGATCCTGCCTTCACAGGCTTTCCCCACCCCTACCCACCGTGATGCTCCCTCCACAGGCAAACCCCACCCATCTTTCATTCATATTGCATTGATAACTTCTACTTATTCTTTAGGTCTCAAATTAGGTGTCTCTCACTTAGCTCAGGGAGGCCCCTACCCCGGACCCACCACATCTGCATCAGATGCTTCTTTTAGATATTCTCAAGCTCTCTGACATTCCTGTCCCAAGCTTTTGTCTCCTAGAGGGAATTATTATTTAATCACCTCTCCCCAACTATAAGATCTTTGAGGGTAAGGATTGGGTCTGTCTTGTTCACTTCTTTACTTACAATATAGGTAGAGCACAATGCCTGACACATTTTCGGTGCTTAACAAAAACTCTGTGAATTAAAGTCTAAAATCTCAAACTAATCAAGGACCTTTGGTCGTCCATCTAGATAAAGCTTATTGCTTTTCAGCTCTAACATTCTGAGCCCCCACAAGTGAAACCAGATTGAAGGAATCTGATATCTTATGACTGGTCTGCTTGCTGAAGCCATTGACTATCTCTTGCTCATGACAGAACCTCAATCAACCATGGTGATGACTTAAAGCCACTAAAATTCTTGAGTACATCTTACATTTAAAATACCTACATTTTCCAATTTCCTATGGACCTGTTAATTTCTTTTATATAAAATATTTAAGACTTTCTCATTGAAAAGGCCTATAAAGATATATAAAACCAGGCCCATTTTGCCATGTCAACAGAGCTGAAGAATTATACCACTTATCTCTCTGTATTCTGTACTTCCTTTTGAAAGACAAATATTCCTTTCGAACTAAAGCTTAATGCCTAAGATTTAGTTCTTGGCATAGAAGAAGTGCCATAGTAATTTTTTTATATGGAGGCTCTTAATTTTGCAAATGTGTTTGATACTCTACAAAAGCAATTTAAGTAAACTGTAGAGAGAGAAACATATTGCAGCTTTTAATAAATACCTCCCACGCCCTCATGAGAGTGGTGAGTGAGCTGTTAACTTTCTCTCATGCAGAACGTATCTTGAGAAAAGTTGTATAAAGGCAGACATAGTAATACCTATTTTTTTCTTCATCTGCTCTGTAGTGGGACAGTGGAAAATAGATATTACTATAACAAAGATAAATGCTTATATTCAAGATTTGTGCTGTGACTTTACATAACAGGTAACTCATTCCCCACCCCACCCCCAATTTTGAAAGCTACATTTAAAAAAGCATTTTTAGGTGCAAAGGCTAACAAAATTTCTTTTTAGCCTTCCTCACTGTATCCACAGAGAACTGGCAATTTTTCTTGGAGCTAATTCAAATTGCTCATAAATGTATACAGTTATAAAGTCTTCCTTCCACTGTAACTGTCATGGAAAGGGTTTGGAATCAAGCCTTTGCTCCACCCTGCTGCATGTAGCTGGGCTTCTATAAAAATCTACTTGTCACACTTTGGCGCACAGCTTTTCATTTTCTACCACAGTGTAAAAACACGACGCAATAGATGTGTTCTTACTGAGAGAGTGGGAATTTATTTTTGTATCCTTCAACTTGAGAAGTTTATGGGCAATCTGAACTTCTTTTATTGGATCTTCCAATCTAGCTGATGACGTCAATCAGAGTGAGCAACCAAAGCAAATACACATTTTGTGCTTCTCATACTCTGGAACTTTTCATTTTGCTTTGCATATTAGTATAGATTATTCAGAATAAAATATTATAATCCACTCTGTCAAATTTGATATGTGATGCTGTTTAATAAAAACAATAAAAATTCTATGAAACCACTAATGTGGTTTATTTGATGATTCACAATTATACCACTTTGGGCATACGCTTCTTTGAAGGCTTTTGCATAGGTTCCAATTTTGAGTTTCCTACTTGTAGTTGTTGGATTTGGTAGATTCTGGCTTCTCCTTGTTTCTCAGGTCCAAGCCTATTCCTGCTCTCCCTCCTAGCAGCTGGGGTCCACAAAGTCTTGGGTCCTTGGGCGGGGATGGAGGATGTGCAAAGACCCAGCGTCCGCAGAAGCCAGGAACAGAAAGTGCCAGCAGAAGTGAGGATGTGCAGGATCAGGCTGAGAAACCGAGTGTAATCATGTTGTGAAGGCACAGGAGATCTCTATTAGTTTTCTAGAGGTGCCATAACAAGTACCACAGACTGAGGGGCTTAAAATAGAGATGTATTTCGCACAGTTCTACAAGCTAGAAGTCCAAGAATAAGGTGACTTGTCTGCAGGGTTGGTTCCCTCTGATGATTGAGAGAGAAGAGTCTATTCCAGGTCTCTCTCCTTGGCTTGTAGAAGGCTGCCTTCATCCTGTATCTTCACATTGTCTTCCATCTGTGTGTGCCTTAGTCCAAATTTCCTCTTCTTGTAAAGATACCAGTCATATTGGATTAGGGCCTACCCCAATGACCTCATTTGAATGTGATTACCTCTGTGAAGACCCTATCTTTAAGTAAAGTCACATTCTGACATACTAGCATTAGGACTTCAGCATGTGAATTTGGTGGGGGAAACACAATTCCATCCCTAACAATGTCCCAGAACAAGGATACAAAGCCAGATCTCAGACCTGCAGAAAAAAAGAAATATATGCAATTCAGGGGTGACTGACACCAATGGAGACGAAATGTCCATCACTTCCTTTACTGATCTTTTTCTACAAGGTCATGGTGCACACTAAGTGTCTGGATGTGGGTGGAGCTGACTGCCTTAAAAGTTCGGGGTCTAATGTCTTCCCCTTGGGGACCCATTTAATATCTGTTCTCAGAGCTAGGTAAGGTAGTTAAAGGTCTCCCCTAGAGAAGTGGAAAAAGGGAATTTAAATTTAATCTCAGAAATCTTTTGGAGCAGTTTCTAAGTGCAAAGCCATGTAAGGCCATGGCAGTGAGACTCTACTCTCAAGTTATAGTGAAAACCATCAGTGTCCATCAGTGGCCCTCAGTTCATCCTAGGTTAGCTGTAGGAGAATCATTTGCTGGGACAAAATTCTAATTCCCCCAAGATTCACATATCCTGGTGAAACTGGATATGTGACATCATGGTACTTCTCTTAATTTTATTTCATTATCCCCAAGTATTTAGTAAAGTATTATTTTAAAATTATCAAAGGAGGATTACTTAATGCCCAGATTATTAAAGTAGTACAGTGGCCCTTGAGGCCAAGAAGGTAGCTCTAATAATTAGCGAAGGGCCATCGGGGTTTAGCAAAAGTCTTCTGTCTCCCTTTCTAAATTTGAATGATGTGATCTGGGAAGTTTCCTTACATAGTTCATTGAGAGAGTCAGTTCTGAATTTTACATCATTCAGACTGCAGAATCAGATGATTGCAATACTTCTGAGCTACTTCTGAAATCTTGTGCTTTTTACTTGTGTTACTTAGCATATTCTTCCTACTGTAACTCCCATTAAGAAATAATCTAACTAATTTCTACATTTTCAAAATTATGCAGCTAGTATTTTAAATGTGAAGTTTAAATGTAGCTATGGAATGCTACCCAATTTGCAGATTTATCAATTATTGGTGGATTGGATGTTATATAAAAGGAGTATTAAATCTCAATACACTACAAGAAATTTTTGTAGTATTTTTCATCCTTATCAATATTAATTTTGTGAGTGAGAGTCCATACTCTGATTCCATGTGAGTGAGAGTCCATACTCTGATTCCTTGTTTAAATCTACTATTCAAAATCATGAGCAGGGAGATTTATAAAAACTAGAGTTAATTCCAAAGATGAGAGAAATTAGAGCAGAAATACAAATGAAAAGGCAGTCCATCAAAATACTGAAATCAATAGTGCCTCCTGCGGTGTCACTGAACTTCTGTTAGCTGTCATTTATTTATGCTTATTCAGTTCACCCACAATGGAGGTCGCTGTGCCATGAATGTTACTTACATTAACTCATTCATTCTCACCACAACTTAATGAAATTAGATAGGGTTAGTCTAGTTTACAAAAGGAAGATTAAGAAGGTTGATTAACTTGTCCACAGAAATAGAAGAGATGGCCTCATTGTTCTGGCTTCTAAACAATTGTCCTAATCAATTGGGTTCATGACAAAGGCTTTTCCAAACTCATGGGGGAAAAAATAATCAAGAACCACCAGTGATATAGCCAATATATAAATAATATTTGAAAAAAAAAAACATATCAGAGGACATTGTAGATCGTGAAAGCATATGAAAATCATTGCTGCAGCTCAAGATTAAAGAATCTAATTGTCCCATTTATCCTCCACATTATGTATTGTTTATTCAAATTTTGGGTTTCATGTTTCTGTGATCTACAAAGATGGAACGAAGTCTCTAATTAAATATCCAAGAATTGATATTGGATGGGCAGGTGGCTTGGCCTCAAATCTTGACTCTTTTACAAATTAGTTAATTGACCTTGGAAAATTCACTTAGCCTTCCTGAGCCCCAGATGCTGTCCTGCAGGGTTTTGTGAGATCTGAATGAGATAATCCATGTGAAAATACATAGTTAGTACTTTGTGACACAAAGTTAGTATTCATTAAATGTTAACTGAATGAGACTATAAATAATTGTTTATTTACAGACCAGATTTCTCAAATCTTCCAAAAGATTAGTTCTTTCTTTCTCACACATAATCTATGCTTTCATATTTGAGTTATAGATCAAATAGCTCAATGTCTGATTTCCAATGTTCTATATGATATATATATATCTTTATTTATACATATTTATAGTATACATAATAATTATGTGGGTTTTTTTTCACCTATAGCGACCAAGAGCTGAAAAATTTAATTGAAGTAAATTCTAATGTCTCTGAAAATAAAAATGGAAGGTAAGACTTATTATAATTTACTTTTTTTGTTATCAATTTCATATGAGCCTACACAAATTATATAACATTAGAAGATTTACTGAGGAGTTGAATTGTATTACGGTATTTAGATATAAATACGATTGAAATACAAAAATCAATATGCAGAGAACTTAATAGATAATATGGAAAAAAGTTAACAAAATTCAAATTCTGTTGGAATTTCTGACTAAGGGCCTTGTATTCAATTGCTTAGTGTAAAAGGCATCATGGAAATTCAAAGCTCTGCACTTGGCTGTGAAAATTTATTTTTACTTATTGTTGCTTGGTAGTTTTTCAGTGGTGCAGAAAGCACTCTGGGAATGTCTTCCTTGGATACCTAGTGCTAAAAGAATCCGCAAATTCATCACAGCTACAAAACAAGACCTAGTTTTGGAATTTCTTTACACTGCACAGTATAATGGCATTAAAACTGTTGTATTTTGTTTCTTATACAAGGAAAGTTGGGATAGAAGCTGTACTTCATTGTCGTTACAGACTGTTTAGGGAAGAATTAAATTGTTTTCCGTGTTTTGCAGTCTCCCTAGACCTATGGGGGACTCTAAAAACAATGGGTTCCTATTTTTTACCTTCATAAGGTACAGTTGTCTTTTCTATTAAAAATTTTGTTATGCAAAGAAATGATACTGTCAATGTTGTGTGTGGAGAGTGGAAAAGCAGAAAGAGATCTGGGTCCCCAAAATGTCTACAAAAGACTCTTGCATCTAATGTTAGTTTCTTTCTCTTCCATTAATTCCCTAAATCATCTTCTGCCTTCTTTTCTTGTGATCACACAAAAGGTTTTGATAAAACTAGGGAGGGTAAGTTTTCAATAGAATCTGTTTATCTTAGAAAAACATCCATTATTTTGGAAGCAGGACTGGGCTTACAGTTAGCCAGTCTCACTCAACTATTATCTGGAAATGATTAAGGTAAAAAATTGCAAGTAAATGTTTATGTATGGTTAAGGAACTTCTCATTTTAATATGATTTGACACATGCTCCAATTTCAGCGCGACTTGCTTACGAAGGATTAATGAAGAAATGGAATATTACGGAAATTTAAGAGCAGGAATGGTAGCATGGGCGGACCTCATAGAGGCCTGATCTGGAAGGTTATTTCTTCTTGGCCAGAGGACATTCCGTAAGGAATCCTTGGACATTAACCCTAGTTCTTTGGTATTACTATAACTTAGCTACTTCCTGAATATTGGCCGCTTCCTATTTTTGTCTTGCTTTTCCTTCTGCGTATTGGCTTTCTTATTCTTTACCCTATATCTATTTGATAACCAAGAACTTTGCTGCTTTGCAGTTTCTACCTCCTCATACCTTGAGCTTACTCGTGGTAAGCTTTTGCATGGCCTGTCTGGCCTTCTAAAGCAAGGCATTATGGATGTGGCCATCTGCACTGAAGATGGTGTATAGATGGAAAACACCATGGTTGACAATAAGATACACATACTCTCCTTTCCCTTCCTGCAGTTTTGTCTGTGTCTCCTGCCTGACATAATCCAACTGTGACATACATTCACAAATGTACCCACTCTCTCCCAGTGAGACAGGAATCATCACATTCAGTAACTATATCAAGAAGCCTTAACTACCACCACTACAAAACCATTTCTTGATCCCTGACTTCTGTTTCCAGGTAGCGTTCATTCTCCTTCAGTTCGATCACAATCCTGAATATGTACAATGTTTCATGGTCTGCTTTCTAGAAATGAAATGGAAAATGTAAGCACCGCCCTGGCACTGACACAAGAACTGTAATAAAAATTTTCCCCTGGAACAGAATGGAAAAAAGAAATCTCTGGGCCCAATTTTTGTGCCGATGTATTCTGGCTACAAAAAAGGACTTTCAAAATGGGTAAATGGGTAAATATTTAATAGGAAGAAAATTAAGAAAATTCACAGAGAGTAAGAGACTTGACTAAGTGTAGAAGTTTAGTAATTAGAGGGCTGGGATGAACCTGATTGTTATGGCATCACGTCCTCTCTTTATTTTTTATAGTAGACTACTTTTTAAAACTATGTTTAAAATTCATAGTTTTTTACAAGAGCTCAAGACCTTGACATTTTATTTTTTTTTTCAACGTTTTTTTTTTAATTTATTTTTGGGACAGAGAGAGACAGAGCATGAACGGGGGAGGGGCAGAGAGAGAGGGAGACACAGACTCGGAAACAGGCTCCAGGCTCCGAGCCATCAGCCCAGAGCCTGACGCGGGGCTCGAACTCACGGACTGCGAGATCGTGACCTGGCTGAAGTCGGACGCTTAACCGACTGCGCCACCCAGGCGCCCCAAGACCTTGACATTTTATAGAAGTAAACCCCAACACATAGGATACAAAATAGTAAGCTCTTAATAAGATTTTATTCTTTATGCAAAAGAGATTTATAAAATTTGCAGTGGTATCGATGTTTATCAGTTGAAGTTGTTTTATGGTGTTCGAATCTTAGGTTGCTAATGTTAAGTTAGTAAGACAATGGAAATCTAAATAAGAGTCCTGGGCCAATCTGCTAAACTGAGACTTGATTCACTTTATGAATGTATTCACTTTGTATAGTAATTGGATGTCCAAGTAAATATATTTTTATAATTAGCATATTCATAGAGTGTACAACCATCACCACAATCAATTTTAGAACATATGTATCACCTCAAAAATCAACTCCGTACCCATGAACAGTCACACATCATTTTCCTCCCAACCCCTCATCCCTAGCCTGCTTTCTGTTTCGATGAATTGCCTATTCTGAACATTTCGTATAAATGGACTCATATAATATGTGGTCCTTTATGACTGGCTTCTTTCAAGATTCATCCATTTAATAGCATGTATCAGTACTTTATTTCTTTTTATTGCCAAATAGTATTTGTCCATTGTATAGCTAAACAGCATTTTGTTTATTCATTAATTGATGGACATTTGAATTGTCTTTGAATTTTGGATTGTATTTAACTATTGTAAACAATGCTGCATATATGTTTTTGTATGGGATATGTTTTCATTTTTTTGGGTGTATACTTAGGAGTGGAATGACTGGATTGTATAGTAACTCTATGTTTAACCATCTAAGGAACCGCCAAACTATTTTCAAATCAGCTGTACCATTTTATACTCTCACTAGCAATGTATGAAGGTTCCAGATAGGTGAATTTTCAAGCTGAATTTCCACCACAGGAAACATTTTCTCAAGAGTAATCCCATTTGAAATTCTGTAAGATCCAACACAGTGTTTGAATTTATATTTTGTAGAGTTGTTATTTAATTAATTAAGACACGAAACTATGACCATTAGTTGGAAGTTATAATTCAACAATTTGTTTCAATGAATAATAACTTTTAATGATAAAACTGTTAATTAACAAACATTGTGAGTCATGAGTTCTCCTTTATGAGGATTATTCAAGGCATCTGAGAGCAATACTTGGGCAGGGTTCCTCAATTGTACTGGTTCCCAAACTTTAGTGTATGTCACAACCACCTGCTGATAGAGAGACCACATTTTGAGAACCAGTACTCTTCTGGGTAAGATGATGGGCTGCCCAGCCTCTTAGGTGGTGGTTCTTAACCTTAACTTGCATGTGAGACTCAGTGAAAAGGCTTAAAAGAATCCCAGTGCCCAAGCTGTAATCCAAGCTAATTAAATCAGAATATCTGGATGTGGGGCCCAGTAGCATTGTAAAAAGCACCACAGGTTATTTCACTGGTTGCCAAAGTATTTTTTAGCTATTTCTATGGTTGTAAATAATTAAAAAAATATATTGTTACCACTTATTGGCATCAAGATAGAATTTCCTTTTTAACATCTATCACCATCTCTGGAAGAACAAAGAAAGACTTGGCAAGTATTACAGAGCCTAGGAGACTACAGAGACATGATTATTATGTGGAAGATATATCCTGATTCTGATTCTGGAACTGAGAAAGGACATCAGTGGAAAAACTGATGAAATACAAATGAAGTGTGTAGATTAGTAAATAGTATTGTACCACGTTGATTCTTTAGTTTTGACAAATATACCATGGTTATGTATGATATTAGAATTAGGAGAAGCTGGGTGAAGAGTAGACAGATTCTCCACCTGTCTTTGTAATTTTCCCATACACTTAAAATTATTCCAAAATAGGGGCGCCTGGGTGGCGCAGTCGGTTAAGCGTCCGACTTCAGCCAGGTCACGATCTCGCGGTCCGTGAGTTCGAGCCCCGCGTCAGGCTCTGGGCTGATGGCTCAGAGCCTGGAGCCTGTTTCCAATTCTGTGTCTCCCTCTCTCTCTGCCCCTCCCCCGTTCATGCTCTGTCTCTCTCTATCCCAAAAATGAATAAACGTGAAAAAAAAAATTAAAAAAAAAATTATTCCAAAATAAAAGGTCTTTTTAAAAAAAATCTGTCATCTTCCAAACCTACTGGCATAGCAAAACCTGTCAAAAAGTTTATTGTTCCACATTTCAAATTTGCTTACTAGCATTTAGTTTTTATTCACAATTATAAAAATTAAATCTTAGTGAAGCCATTATCATCATCTTATGATAAACACAGCTAGGAGATGCTACTTCTATTATTACTCTGTCTGGGCTTCCATAACAAAAGACCACAGACCAGGTGGCTTAAACAACAAAAATTTATTTTCTCACAATTCTGGAGGCTAGAAGTCCAAGATCAAGATGTTGTCAGGTTTGGCTTCTCCTGAGACATTTCTCCTTGGCTTACAGATGGCCACTTTCACACTGTGGCCTCGCATGGCCTTTTCTCTGTGTATGAACAAATATACACAAATCTCTGGTGTCACTTTTTCTTATAAGGACACAAGTCCTGTGATATTAAAGCTTCACCCTTATGACCTCACTTAACCTTTTTTACCTTCTTATAGTCTCTGTCTCCAACTCACAATGAAGGTTAGAGTTTCAAAATGGGAATTTGGGGGGGAAACAATTCAGTCCATTATAGTACTGTATGCAGTTTATTCCCCTTTCTTCTTTGAAGATTTTGCTAACTGGTGATATTTGATTTTATATTGCTGGGGATGGTGCAAACACATTCCAAACTCACTGACAACCTTCATTCCTTGAAGCTGTCTGTTAAAAATGGGTTTTTTATTGTATGTTATATGATTTGAATATTTTTAAGCAATTCCTAGCTAGGTTTATTATTCCTGGAATGACATATTCTAATAATTACGTTAGAAAGTTTTCTAAGGTTCATTCTACTTTCTCATTACTTAGTATAATTTTAATGTAGCTGTATGGTTTGTGAAACATCTGTCTTAAAAGTAGAAGATGATTGTATGCCAGAGATAATATGTGAACAATGTTTTCCTCTTCTTTAAGAGCTATCTGGAAGTGGAAGGAAAGAATGTTTAAAAATGATAAGGCTTGATTAAGATCTAAACTGCCCTCTTGTTTTTCACATCTCTTCTATATTGGAGTTTACTAACCTGGAGGGATGAAAAGTGGCTAAAATTTTTGCTATTCCTGCATTAAAATTTTCCTCTGTTTCAGAGGAAAAAGAAAATATGCCTGCACTTGTTAAACGTTGTGACACTTTTTAATTAGCAGAAATCTAAGTCAGAGTTCTGTAATCTTCAAAATATTTTTTCCATTAAAAGCAAGATGGAAACGAATTTCCAAAAGCAACCACTGGATAATTTTCATTAAATTGATAAACTCACAAGTTTATCATATTGTACATGAGATGCTTTCTACAGTGGCACTGCTGGTATTACAAGGTTACTGGAACCAATTTCAGATGGTTTTTGCCCTGGATAAAAAGGTCTTTTATTCTAATGTTAGATAATATGACACATGCCTGTAGATTATTCTTTAAGGTAAGACAGTGGTCACTCTGGAGGTGTAAAATAGTACATGTATTCTATTTGTGTATCTGCACAGAAGCCAGACAAACATAAAGAGGTTTGTTGTATGTAAAAACTTAATTGAATAGAATTTTAATAAAACAAAAAAACTTCTAGTGGCCTTCATTTAAGTGCCAAATATTTGTGTCTGCTTTCCCAGGCTAGACAGCCAAGTCGGTGGATCCACTGATGCTATAAACATCCAGTTTACTAGAACTCCTGCCCATTCTTATGAAGCCAGGAAGAATCACAGGTACCACGGCCAATTATATACAAGTGACAGGACTTTCTCCTTCTGTTTTTAAAACTCATCTTACTTTAAACCTCCCCTTGCTTTGAAATGCAGAAATTTCTAATGTTATCAGTTGCTTTATGTAAACAGCTCCACACAAAGGTGTTGCATTAGCAAGTAGGTCGTTGGTAAGCTTTGATATCTGGGTAGGAAAGTGTAAATATTATTTTTTCTGAAAATTTTACATTAAAAAAAAACTGTTTGTGACACTGGTGTTGACATTCTTTAGGCAGATTTTAAAGTTTCATTAAATTAGTTGTTATCATGTTCATTAAAGTTCACTAAAGTCAACTTTTTATTTTGCTTTCCAGATTTTTATTTAAATTCTAGTTAGTTAACATTCAATGCAATATTGGTTTCAGTAGATTTCACTGATTCATCACTTACATACAACTCCCAGTGCTCATCACAAGTTCCCTCCTTAATACCCATCACTCATCTAGCCCATCCCTCCACCCACCTCCCTCCATACAACCCTCAGTTTGTACTCCATTGTTAAGAGTCTCTTAAGGTTTTTTCCCTCTCTCTCTCTTTTTCCCCTTTCCCATATGTTCATCTGTTTTGTTTCTTAAATTCCACATATGAATGAAACCATGTGGTATTTGTCTTTCTCTCACTTATTTTTCTTAGCATAATACACTCAAGCTTCATCCATGTCGTTGCAAAGGTCAAGATTTCATTCTTTTTATGGTTGAGTAATATTCCATTATGTATATGTGTACACACACACGTACACACACACACACACACATTTTTCCATAGTTTGGCTATTGTTGATAATGCTGCTGTAAACATTCAGGTGCATGTACCTGTGCTTGAATGTGTACTTTTGTAACCTTTGTGTAAATACATAGTAGTGCAATTACTGGATCGTATGGTAGTTCTATTTTTAACTTTTTGAGGAGCCTCCATACTGTTTTACAGATTGGCTGCACCAGTTTGCATCCAGTTTGCATTCCCACCAACAGTGCAAGAGGGTTCCCCTTTCTCCGCACCCTTGCCAACACCTCTTGTTTCTTATGTTGTTAATTTTAGCCATTCTCACAAATGTAGGCTTAGAGACCTCAGCAACTCCTTAAAATGTAATAACATTAGTATCATAGGAGTCCCAGAAGATGAAGAAAGAGGAAAGGGGGCAGAAGGTTTAGTTGAGCAAATTATAGCTGAAAATTTCCTCAATCTGGGGAAGGGCACAGACATCAAAATCCAAAAAGCACAGAGAACTCCCATTAGATTCAACAAAAGTCAGCCACCACCAAGATACATCATCGTCAAATTCACAAAATACACAGACAAGGAAAGAATCCTGAAAACAGCAAGGAAAAAATCCTTAACCTACTAGAGAAGACAGATCAGGTTTGCAGCAAATCTGTCCACAGAAATTTGGCAGACCAGAAGTGAATGACATGATATATTCAATGTCCTAATATATGGGAAAAATATGCAGCTAAGGTCAACTTTTTGAGGTTTGTGGGGAAAGTTACGGTTTGAAAAATAGGAATGGGACACCAGGGAAACACATTAAAATGTATTATAAATATTCAAAATAGTCTTCATGCTCTACAACAGATATTCTGAGCGACCGACCAATTTCCATAGCAGCGTCCTGGAAGTAGGCCAAAACAGTGGACACCAGGAACAAAATAGGAGATGTGAAGAAATTTTGCAGAAGTGGATTAGTATCCCTTTAACAATTACATTTCAAAAGTTATAATTTAAAAGGAATATATAAACACTATTTTTTGCATTGAATTGGATAATAGCCTTGCTGTTTTTATTATCCTTGTAAATAAGCTTTAAACATTAAGTAAATGGTTCGTGTTACAGCTCCAATGCTGAAACCAGGCATGCAGGACCAAAGGATACTGTGGTATACACAAGGACCTATGTGGAGAACAGGTACTGGAAATTTATTTAAAATATTTTGCTACATTTACTCTAATTTTGAAATCATCTATGTTAGGAGAGATGCTATTATTTTGGAGTATGTTTGCTTTTCTCAAACAGAAGACCATTTAGGGGTATATTGAGTTCTAGGTATATCATTCTTTATAATGTTTCCAATATTAAGTAGTTGGCAAATAACCATTGTCATTGGATGAACCAAATGCTTGAATATAACAAGTATACACATAATAGGATAACCACGTGAAAGTTCTCACATGATCATATATAACTATACATTTATAACAAGCCTACAAAATTACACAATGCAAAATTACACAAAGTTACTCAGATACTCTCATGCTAATTTTGAGTCACACTTTAATTAAATAGTTCTATACACTATTCTGGTTCTATCTAATCTAATCTATCTGTCTGTTTGCCTCTCATCTGAAATAAGGGGTGTTACCTTTAGTAGATACACTCTGGCCCAAATTACAGAGAATGGATATCCAAAAAAATCTGCTGCTTGGAGTGATGGATGTTGAGAAGAATGTCAACCAAGATCATGAATTCACAACCTATTTGATTTTCAGGGAGTATAAAAATAAGAATTAGCCTACCTGTGGAGTAATATACTGGTTAGGACTACAAATGTGATGTACGTGACATATGTGTTAACCAGAGCCCATTTCAAAGAGGGGAGACTATCTCTAGAGAGGGGTTCCTGAAAGGGCTCTGGGAAATTCAATACATGTCAGAAAATGGACAATTTTCCAAAAAAACAAAAAAGGTTTCTCAAAACCACACCTAATTTACTTTGTAAAATGCAGGCTCAAGTTTGATTTTTCTGCTGAATCTAAATCTCCCTAAACTCCACACTGACGGTGTAGGATAGTGTAGAGGCCCTAGCATCAGATTTGGGATGGAGTCTGTCATTTACTAACCAAGTGGTTTTGGCAAAATCTACTTAACTTCTTCAAGTCTCAATTTCCTTATCAAGAAAATGGAAGTAATAATATATGTATCATGCACAAATGTGTGCAAACTCTTACTGAGCATTGTGGGTTATGTATTCCGAAGATACTCTATTTCTTTTCTTTTTTATATTCTTTTTTAAGGGGCGCCTGGGTGGCGCAGTCGGTTAAGCGTCCGACTTCAACCAGGTCACAATCTCGCGCTCCGTGAGTTTGAGCCCCGCGTCAGGCTCTGGGCTGATGGCTCAGAGCCTGGAGCCTGTTTCCGATTCTGTGTCTCCCTCTCTCTCTGCCCCTCCCCCGTTCATGCTCTGTCTCTCTCTGTCCCAAAAATAAATAAACGTTGAAAAAAAAAATTATATTCTTTTTTAAAAGTAAATATAATTTATTGTCAAATTGGTTTCCATACAACACCCAGTGCTCTTTCTGACAATAGTCTGCCTGTGGACAATTGGAGGGAGAAAGATTTCTTATTTAAAAATCCCAGGTAAAGTCTGTGGAATTACCACTCACCCTATGAAATAATAGGAATGTATTGCTTCCAGCCCTAATATACTCACAGGTAGCATAAGTAGTTGGGAAGCAATTATGAGCTGCCAGCTGGTTAGTGCATTGCAAGTTTCATTTGTCTCACAGAAGGACTGACATTTACAAACTGGGGCAGTCTGAAAAATAGAACAAAGGGGACTTAAAATTACACTTTTTTGCTTTCATTCTAGACTCTTCTTTCTTGGATGTTTTCAAGTAAAAATAAACATTTCTACAGCTTTCTCTAAAAGTTTATAAGTCTCTGTGTCTCTACACAGAGAATGTTGATGTTGTGAATGCTGATGTTTCTATGTGCTTACACTGGCCCATGCTTTGCATATTTCCTTTTCTGTGTTAGATTACATGTGGCTTTCCTATAGCAAATGAATGAGGGAGGGGCAAGCATGCATGTCATGAGAAATGATAACTTCTTTTCCTGCTCACGCTTTTTCCTGCGCTCCTTGTCCTATGCTCTATTTCCTTCAATAGATTTGTCAATTTATATCAACCTGGAGGTGGCTTGTGCATCAGCACTTTCCACATTTAAAAAAAAAAAAAAAAAGAAAGAGGTTAGTACATGGTCCTAACTTGTAACATCATAGAGAAGAATGACAAAGCTGCATGAGGTGTGTGTGCTTTGTCACCTGTGTATGGGTGTGTACATCAACACTAGGGAAATAGCTCAGTCCTCACATGTCAATTTTGTTTGTTTCTAGTAAATTACTGAAGGATGGATATCAGGAGAATATCTCTGGAAAATACATACAAACTGTTTATTCAACTTCAGATAGGTGAGTTGGTCTACATTTCCATATCTAAAAGTATATATACATATATATATATACACACACACACATATACGTATGCATATATATACATACATACTTATATATACATATATTCGCATATATAGGTATATATACTTATATATACAACATTTTATATATTTTAGTGTATATGTATATACATGTATGTGTATATACTTTTACATGTTATATATATTTTATATTCATATTTGATATATTTTTATTATATATATAATACTGAAATACATGATTTTCATCCATTGAACTTAGAGATGCTAATTAAGTGATTGTTATATGTGTGTATGGATGGAACAACGTACAACAACCTCTGCATCCAGGAATTCATTCCGTGGCTTCCTGGCTGTTTCTGCTCTTTAATTGCTGTACTTTATTCCAGCAGAGCTTTCCATGCCCTACAGCTGCCTGCCAGACCAGCCCCTCAGCTGTTGCTGATTCCCAGGAGTCCCTAGTAATGCCACATATTTAGTGTCTAGGCTTCATTGCATCACTTGACTGTGCCCTCAGCCCTTTCTCCTTGTGGTTTTCCAGAGCCAGCTCACCTACAAACAGCTGCATAGAGATGCTGCTATGACCCAGTCTGGGCCCACAGTCAGTTCCGAGGACAGGGGTTGCAGTGATTATCAAGTTAGTGCTAGTATGTTGACCCCAAGCTTTCACTGTTGGTGATCTTTTTTTTTTTTTAATTTTTTTAATGTCTACTTTTTTTGAGAGAGAGAGAGAGAGAGACAGAGACAGAGACAGCATGAGCAGGGGAGGGGCAGAGAGAGAGGAAGACACAGAATCCAAAGCAGGCTCTAGGCTCCGAGGTGTCAGCACAGAGCTGGATGCGGGGCTCGAACCAACGAACCGTGAGATCATGGCCTGAGCTGAAGTTGGATGCTTAACTGACTGAGCCCCCCAGGTGCCCCTGGTAATCCTTTTTTACCATTTAATGTTCAGTGGGGTGCATAGATGATGCTCTTGAGAGTATGACCTGCAGATTTCCAGTGGAGAAAATTAAAATAATTAGCATTTCAACTCAACCACTGGAAATCAGCTGTAATGCAAATGTGTAACATTCTATTAGTGATGTTCCTTTATAGGAAAGGCTAGAAATATGACTTATCGAGGGTAAGGACATATCTTATTTTTATGCACAGCCTAAGCTTGTAATGCAGTGTTTGGCACCTAAGGCTATTCAGTAAATGTTTTCTGAAAAAAATAAACTAATGCTGTATTTGCGAAGGAAAACATGGATGGGCCAGGCACCAAAATTCTATCCTCTTTCTGTCACTCTTTTAAGATCTTGTATTACCAGTGATCTTCTGAGTGTCTTGCTTTTAAAGCACACTTCTTAGAAAAATAAACACAAGTTACAAATGCTGCCTAAATAACCAGAAGCAAACAAATAAAAACAGCTTTTTTTCATAATGCTTTGAGAAGGTCTTTGGCTAACAATATGATCCTTTTTTTTAAAGTTTATTTTATTTCTTTTGTGTGTGAGAGAGAGAGGCAAAGAGGGTGAGAGAGAGAATCCCTGTTCACATGGAACCCAACATGGGGCTCAAACTCGTGAACCATGAGATCATGACCTGAGCTAGTCAATAAAGTCGGTCGCTTAACCGACTGAGCCACCCAGGTGCCCCAACAGTATGATATTAATAAGGACAACACTATCATCCGAGCCTTCCCTGGGCTGATATTATCATTGTTAACTTAAGGAAGGAAAACATTCTTCACAAAAGTATTGCTCTTAATATGAAGAATTTCAGTTCCGCTATTAAAGTGGTCCTTGAAATTTTCCATAGTCATCAGAGCAAAAGTCAATTCTCTGTAAGACCAGCCCGTCAAGCACCTTTTTTCTGTTGATTGTTGTGTGAAATTAGCTATGTCCCCAGAGTTCTTATCGAAGCATTTCAATCCCATTGAAAGTGGCTTCCCACTTAACAAGATAAAGTCTAATTCCTTTGCACAATTATTTATGGGCCTTTAGAACCTGCTCCTACTGAATGTTGATGGCCGTTTAATCACTCCAGATACTTTCTTTCTCTAGCACTTTGGTACGTCCTGTTTGTCCTGCTTGAAATTCCCCCATTATGCCCCTCCACACCTCGCCCAACTCACCTTGAGAGCCCCTTTGTCTTCAAGCTTTAACTCATGTGGCACTTTTTCCACAACGGCTTTCCTGACTCTACCCCAGGGAATAGTTGCTTCGTTAGCCGTGCTCTCCTAACTCTCTCCACGTATCCATAATATGCTATGATTATTGAATCACACACCTGGCTACCCTCGTGGAAAAAAGGAGACTGTCTCACTCTTCTTCATATTCCCAGCTCTTAACCTCAGTGCCTCTGGGAATGGAAGAAGATTGGAGAGTGCCTGTTTTCTACTCTTGACAGGATTACAATATTACATGGGAAATTTAAGTATGTGTGCGTGTATGTGTATGTATATGCATATGTATGAATTTCCCCATAGGGAAGTATTTGCCAGGAACATATAAGGAATTAGCTGTAGAGTTAGTTGAAAGGGGAAATTATTTATTAATATGCATAAGGACTAGGAAATTCTTAGAATGACTGAGAGTATAAAACCAGACACATTTCATCTACTTAAATCCCTTTCTTCTTTTACCTCCTCCTTCCACCCACTTTCCCTCCTCTCTGCTTCTAGTCCTGGGCTTGATCATAGGAGCATGGCTCCTGGGCACGACTAGTTCACTTTCACACAGTAAGCCTGATAGTCCTCACGGGCAGGCCTAGAGGTGACACAGGGACTCTGGGGCCACACTGCCTTCATTCAAATCCTGCCACTGCCACTCAACTGGCTGCATGATGAGAGCAAATTTATTACCCTTCTGTGCTCAGTTTCTTCTTCTGTAAAAGGATGTAAAAATAACAGTACCAGCTTCTCAGCAATGTTGCGAGCAAGAAATGAGTTTATATAACCAAATGCATGGAAAGCACTCTGCATGTATTATAAAGCATATTAGCACTATATAAATATTGGCTATTTTTATTTTACCCTTCTATTATGTACCCTACTCTGAAAATTTCAGGCCTGACTGCTAGTTCCCTGAAACTAGTAAATTCTGCAAGGTACTATTTAAGACAGTCCTAGTCCCTTCCAAAAGGAAAAAAAATCCCAGAGTTGTTGGCCTTTCTTAAGGTTCTTTGTGACCTGAGCTCTTTTGGTCTTGCTGATCATATCTATGGTTCATTTGTTACTGAACAGTCTCTTTCCAAAGTAAATAACAATACTCTCTTTTCCTCATCAAATTTGTGGTGGGGTTATATCTTGTTGGAGAATATAAATTTTGTCATGAAAGCTACACCAATATTCTGATTCTTACAATGACACCAAGAGACTTGTCATAGGAGAACATTTTGGGGACTCTAGACCCCAGAGTCTGGGGTCCTACAGACCCATCACTTGTGAATTTATGAAAATGATTTAAAAATTTTTTTATATTTATTTATTTGAGAGAGAGAGAGAGAGAGAGAGAGAATGAATTGGGGAGGGACAGAGAGAGAGGGAGACATAGAATCTGAAGCAGGCTCCAGGCTTTGAGATGAGCTGTCATCACAGAGCTTGATGTGGGGCTCAAACTCACGAACTGCAAGATCATGACCTGAACTGAAGTCGGACGCTTAACTGACTGAGCCACCCTGGAGCCTCAAATTTACCAAAACACTCTTGAACGGATTTGTACTTTTGTCCTATTGAATGTTTTGAGAGTTAAAATTTTATATTAATCTACAGCATAATTTTTCTATAATATATGCAAATTAATAATTCAAAACCCTCTTCTAGCTTCAAGGGGTACTCATGACCTAGTTCAATTAAGAAACTGTGAACATCTTTGCCTTGCCCAGCTGCACTCTTGATTGCTAATGAATTAATAACTTGAGATTTGTCTTCATCTTAATTCTTTGATATCATTTTGAGGTAGCTAGGAGAATCAATTCTATCGCTAGAACAAGTAAGTCCCCAACTTTCTTTGATTTTCACACAATTTCCTGAAGTATCAACAAAATTAAGCTATCATTTCCACATGTCTTTGTGGGGAATACATCCATCTTTTGCATGATGACAAATTTACTTGTAATTGCTTATGTCTCTATAGGTCTGTCATCGAAAGAGAAATGTGCACTTACTGCCGGCAACCACTGGGCACAGACACTAAAATGATTTTAGATGAATTACAAATTTGCTGCCATTCTACTTGCTTCAAGGTAAGGGTATGTTTATTGCAGTTCATTAAACACAGCATTGCATATGACTGGGATAAAAATAATTATTTAATGAAATACATGCGATGAAGTTAAAACTTTCAGAAATGTTCTCATCCACATTAATAATGCACTACTTAAATATTTCTAGGAGTTATGCAGCCTCAACCTCAAAGGTTTATAATTACTATCTTGGCTTTAGGCTTAGAGTTGATTACTGACACATTTATTACTCTTACCCTGGAGATTTAAATCTGTGAAAATATAAACACTTGTTCTCTTTATAAAAGTTTTTGCAACATTTTAATGAATCATGCATTACATAAAAAAATAATGAAATCCAGAAAGAAAAAGAAATTATTGAGAAGAAAGTTAGCAGCTTTTTATATGGTATATGTATTCAGGATGGATAGACCTCACAATAGTGAAACTCAGTCGGCTTTTGAGAACGTGATTAATTCTAACTAATTGTGGCTTAGTATAATAATAATAAAGCTTATGTGGTACAATGCTTCAGTTTGTGGCTATATGCCATTTCTTTTACTTCTCAAAATAATATTGGGTAGGTCAACGGGACGGTTGTTGATGTAAACGGATGAGCACTGAACTGGAAGCCTGAAGGCCTGAGTTCGAGTTCTAACTTTCACTAACTATGGCTATAATTTTGGACAATCACCTAATTAGCTTGGCTTCAGTTCCCTTATCTGTAAAATGGGGTAGCTGATTAGACTAGTGGTTCTTAATGTTGGCTGTATGTCATAATCATCTGGGGAAATTAGGAGAAAAACAGAATGGTTGGGGCCAGACGCAATTAAATAAAAAATCTCAAAGATGCTTCCTTTTGGTATTTTTCAAAACTCCTTAGATAGAACTAAGGGCAGCCAATTTGAGAATCATTTGCTTAAATCCAAGGGTCCTTTTTGTGCTGACGTTCTGTGGTTGATGCAAATTATCTAATTCAGTCAAGTAAATGTAATACTTTAACAACTGATTGCTTCTCCTTCAATTAGCTTCAGACAGTGACACATAGCAATCAGATATATGGTGTCTCATTTTGAGAAAAAGAATCCAATTTTAGGCCATAGGATATAGAATTCCACATAAAATAAAAGCTATTTTATTTATTTGTTTGTTTGTTTATTTATTATTTGCTTAAAGCTATTATACAGAAAACTTTTTAAAATAAAGAGTTCTCCTGATTATGACTTTTAGTAAAGAACAATAATGTCCATTTATTATATTTCAAATGATTTGTTTCGATTTTCAATTTAATTATAAAATACTACTAGCTGAAAATAAAAATGTCCCCACACTCATAGGAAAAGATATATTATTCTATAGCCATGATAATAGAACTACCTGGACTAATTGATCAATGACAATTTGCTTTAGTGAACTCGCCTCTGGAAGCCAACAATCAGAGACAGGCTCATGCTTGAAAGTCAGCCAGTTGGCAGGTGAACTTGTTTGCAATGAGCACAGGTCTAAGGCAGATGTCAACCCTTTTCTATCTCCATAACCAACACAACACAAAACAAACTGTTCCCTAAACCTTATGTAAGATCAGAAGTTGTTTTGTCCAATGAGACTGTAACTGGACAGCATAACTTTTAGTAAGCAAACAAGGATGCTTTGTGTTTTTGTTTGAGATATTGAGTGGTGATTTTATGTTTGGCATAACCAACTTTCGAAAATTTTTATCTACTTTATTGTGAGTTCAGGAGAAACTTCAGTGGTATATATACCCTGAAATGTACATTTTCAGAGTGGAGAGATGTTGTGAGTATTTATTTGAAAATTTCAGCAGTAGGATCATAAACAAGTGCATTCTCACTTTCCCAGTGGGTTCTCTTTCAAATCTGAGTGTTGCTATGAAGGATGGTACTGAATGAATTGAAAGGGCTTTTCTATCCCTTAAATTACAGTTAAGAGGGGCGCCTGGGTGGCGCGGTCGGTTAAGCGTCCGACTTCAGCCAGGTCACGATCTCGCGGTCCGTGAGTTCGAGCCCCGCGTCGGGCTCTGGGCTGATGGCTCAGAGCCTGGAGCCTGTTTCCGATTCTGTGTCTCCCTCTCTCTCTGCCCCTCCCCCATTCATGCTCTGTCTCTCTCTGTCCCAAAAATAAATAAACGTTGAAAAAAAAAATTAAAAAAAAAATTACAGTTAAGAGTCTACATATATAATATGTGTAAATTTTACATATTGTTTTTTTCCTTAGTGTGAAATATGCAAACGGCCTTTGGAAAACCTACAAGCAGGTGACAGTATTTGGATTTATAGACAGACAATACACTGTGAGCCTTGCTACTCTAAAGTTATGGGTAAGTGTTAAGCTCTTTAAGGAATGATCGCTTTTACTAATATTAATGTGCACTTAATATTGTTGAAATGAAGGATTTCAATAAAGTAAAAAGTATTTTATCAATTCTACTTAGTTAAGAATTTAGCTGAAGATAGTTATACTATGGTAGTATTTTAGGGTATAAAATCAGCCAACATTTATTATTGTCTCCTGATATCAGACCAGACATAGTACAACTAGGCAAAGAGGATTTATTTTGGAAATTTTTCTATTTTTTTCTGAACAAAAATAGATCTTTTCTGCTCAAATAATTGTGTGAATTGAAGTCCATTTCTGTGAATGACCTTTCATATTTGTCCTGAAATATACGTTTGTACCTAATTTGATTATTCCACTAACTGCTTTTTAATGTTACTTTTAAATGGGAAGTTTAGAGCTAGTTCTATATACTTCTATATTAAATACAGCATCAAGTATTTTTTGTGAGTTTAAGACCAACTTTACTATAATTTGGGCTTTTAATTGGCATAAATGGTGTGAGAAGAAAACACTAAGGACTTGAGTTTTTAATTCATTTTCTTTAAACAGCAGGAAAACTTTAAAAGTTGATTTAAAAGATATGCACAATGTACACTAAATTAGCAAAATAAAATGCTACAAGACTTGATCAGTTTTTAATAGCCAGTATTTTATTTTTAATTAAATGGTAAGTAGATAGAATAATCAGAATGATATTGGATAGCTGGTCAACAGCACAATGTGAAGGTGAGTTTTCTGATGCCTCATTGGTATGGTGAATGAAGGAGGAGCATGCGTGATTCTCACATGGGATCCGAAATATGGAATTTAACGACAAATGTGTGACATTAATGAGGTACTGGGAGGCTACATCTGGAAAATGCTCTGAGAAATATTCAGAAACCCACGTTCCATCAGGCTACAGTTCCAATTACAAGGACAAACCTAATTATATTCATACTTCGCCTTCTATTTTCTGCTTTCCCTAGCCAGTTCCCATATTCCATTTTCTTCCTAATTCAGCAGCCTTATCATGATACAATATTATATCAAGGGACTTGATGTGCATGGTGGCAGCTCTAAAACTTTCAGTCTTCCAGAAGTCCACGAAATGGTTTAGGAAATATGACTATCAAAAGACTCAGAAGTCTTTGTGCCTTCCTGCCTGACTATGTGCACCCCATACGCATTGCTATTTTATCGGACACAGCAGTTGTCAAGATATGACGCTCAGAGGAATCTCCTAAATATGAGCGCCAGGCATTGGTACTTTGTGTTCATGGTATATGACCAAAAGCCAGAGTGATGAATGCAGCAGAAATAAAAAATAAAATGTTTAATCCACCACTACCTCCTTGATGAATGGCTATTTAAAAAACTTTCGTTACAGGCTTATTTTTGTACTGAAGTTGTATTTCTAACTGGTACTTTCTTTAAATTTTTCAGCAAAGTGGATTCAATAATTCTGGCACATGGAAATCAAGATAAAAGCATTTATCAGGATGTTAAAATTTTATTTTAAGAATATGTAATCTAGAAAAGCTTTCACACTGAAGATTGACTCTTGTATACAACTAACAATTCTGCTATTGCATAAATAATCTGATTGCCTTCCATAAAGTCATATACATAAAGGAAACCATCTAATATCTGGCTAGATTTAGCCATGAAAAATTCAAGTGGTTCCAGTTACCAATGTCAAAGGAATGATGCTTCTCATGGCAACGAGCTCTGTCAACACTAACTAGGTCCGTCTCTGCTCCGTATGTGAGCTGTGCATTGTGGTGACCATAGTAGACAAGTTTCCCTTTTTGTCATCTTTGTTTCCCTACAGACTTGAATTTACAGATATTATTGACATCCTGATGAACTGTCAAAAAAGCAAGATATGCATGTATATCTTTCACATGCAAAAGAAATGTTGATAGAATTGTTTTTTTAAACAAAGTTTGGCGGAAAGGTGTTTCATATAAAGCTGTATGGACCTCAGAGAATCACTTGATCTTTCCAGACAAAATTATTTCTAATGTCCCTTTCTGCTCCTCAGATTATCTGATTCTAAAACACGTGTTGCTTGCTCTTTGAAAGTATATTTGAATATGTGTCTGTTAAGTATATTGAACTAAATAGGGTATCTAAACAATTTAATGTTATCCTTCAATTTACCACAGAAATGATTTTTATAGAATATTTTAAAAACAAAAAACATGGATTTGTGGGTAATGGGTAAAATCTCATGACATGTATAGTTTACATATTATACCTTGTTAAATTTTCTTTGCATGCATTTCGAAATCTGGGTATATGAATAATTTCTGAGAAATAATGGTTATAGATTACAGAGACATGCTCTTTGGCATATCACATCTACTCATATTACATAGCACTTTACAATTACAGACAGCTTATAAATAAAAATAAAATGAACTACCAGTTACACAGGATCTTTTTGTGAAGTGTCTATAAATATCATTCACTGACATTGATTTTGTCAATTACAGAGATCACAATTTATTATAGCCTATGCCATGCTGGTTAATTTAATTCTTTAGCTGCTTGAGCTATAGCTTTTAGTTTTAAAGAGCTTTTTCTTGAGGAATTGAAAATTCAATAATCATATGTGAGGAATGAGTATTAGTGTTAAAATTGAGAAATTGAACTTATAAACTATTTTATATGCACATAGGAACTGCTTCTCAAAGGAAGGCACATAGAACACTGAGGGGAGGGTGGAATTTTAGGGAAGCTTAAGGTAGTTGTGAAAAACTGACATCAACTAGGGAGAATAAATGATCATCATGTATTTTCCGAGTGTTGATAAATTTAAAGAATTATTCTTCTGTATAATGATTCCAAGCATCTGTTCCTCTTAGGGCCTGGTCCACAAAGTGTTAAACACAAAATGCTTATCAAAATGCAGCAGCGTATAATTGTTGTCCTATGGAGAAGAAGCCAGAAAAAAACAATTAATAATAATTTGATATTCATTAATTCATGCTTGATGAGAAGCAGTGGTAATTGAGCCATATGTTTTATTGTTCTTTTATTACATGCTATCAAAGTGGATCAAAAGAAATAATTTTCTTAGGGTTGAAATTAGTGACAGAAAAGGAAGGATGGAATAGTATCCCTGCCTTTTATATAAAGTGTATTAACATCTCAATGCCTTTGTAGTAATTAAAAATCATTTGAATATCATTTCAGAAGTATTCTACTTTTTAATGCTTCATTTAAAAAAACTTAAAAGGAACATATTTCTCACTTTTCTGTAGCTGTTTAATGGACCCTTTCTTCTATAATAATGTATTAAATTAAACCCAAAGCTGTTATAAAAATGGAATAAATATAGAGTGGAGAGATCAGGGCTTCCAATTCACGAAGACCACTTCATTTTGTCTGGGTTTATTTGCATCATCGGAATACAGATTTCTAAGACATTTGGAAGATCTCTTTTTTTTTTTTTCAGCCAATCAATTATGTTATTATTGGCATACTTTTCCTGGACACAACTGCCTAACTCTCAGAATACCAGGTCCTGAATTCTATTGCTAATTAAGAGATACCTCTAAAAAGAATGAACTGCTGCAGCATGACAATATCCTTCTAAAAAAGCAAAATGGAAGAAATATAATAATCTTGGAAATAGAATTTGTTAAGATAGTATTCTTTGTTTTAATAAGGTGAAGAAATAAAAATGTATTGGAGAAGTAATCTGTACACCCTAATTGTCTGATTGCAACCACTCCTCTACTTAGATATGAGTGACAACATATGGTCCAGCTCTGACTGTCAATGCAGAGTCGGACTTGTTTACTACCATAAAAACATCATGAGTGTTTGGAACGTTTTCCTACTCAGCTTGATTCAGAGCTCTACCAAAACAAGGGACTGTTTGGTCTACATTATGGCAAACTAACAATGATGATGTTGATTTTTATTCTTGTGTGTGTATACTACTGAATTTACTGGTTATTTTGTGACAGTGTAAATAAGTTGCCTCCACCTATTCTTAAGTACTCAGCATTTCCCAGGAGCACCCATAAATATCTCTGTTAACTTGGGCATGCCCTTTCCCTCATGGGCCTATTCACTATTTAAAATGTGAGATTTAAAGGCGCCTGGCTGGTTCAGTCGGTGGATCATGAGATTCTTGATATCAGGGTTGTGAGTTCAAGTCCCATGTTGGGGGCAGAGTTTACTTAACTAAAAAAAATTTTTTTTAATAAAAATAAAATGTGAGATTTAGAACATTTAGAACTTGTAGCCACCAGCTCAAACATTGCATGAATCTGGGAATCTATTCCTGCTGCTTATCCCATTCTGAGATGATCTCTTTTGTTAGATGCCTAGGAGTTGTTGAATGTTTTATATGTATTTCTTTTTTCTTTTTATCTTTTGGCCCTCTACACCCATTTCTCCTACCCCCAACCCTAACCCTTGCCTGTGGTAATCACCAATCTATTCTCTGTATCTATGATCTTGTTTTTGTTTTTTGCTGTTGTTGTTGTTGCTTACGATTCCACATATAAGAGAGATCATAGTGTACTTGTTGTTCTCGATCTGACATACTTTAATTAGCACGGACCTTAAGGTCCATCATGTTGTTGCGATTCACATTTTCATTTTCTTTGGATAACCACCAAGAAGTGGAATGGCTGGATTATAGGATAGTTTTATTTTTAATATTTTGAGGAACCTCCATACTATCTTCCACAGTAGCTGCACCAATTTACATTCCCATCAGCAGGGGTTTCCTTTTCTCCACCAACCCTTGTTATTTCTTTTCTTTTTGATAATAGTCATTCTAACAGGTGTGAGGTGATATCTTATTGTGGTTATCTGGCATATAGAAATGCAGAAGAGTTTTGTGTATTGATTCTGTATCCTGTAACTTTACTGAATGTGTTTATTAGTTCTAACAGGTTTTGTTTTGTTTTTAGTTCCAACATTTTTTTGATGGATTTCTATATATAATATGTCATCTGCAAATAGTGACATTTT